TATTCTGTATGTGACTTGCTTTTCATATGATGGTATACAGTTACTTTTGTTTACTTCTCACCAACCTTCTTGTACCTTGCAATTTGGAGTTTTAGTCCTCAGCATTAAAATGTTTTTGGTATTTCTTCCTGTTCCAGGACAAAAATCAGAAAAATAAAAGGTATTTGTTTCAAAACTTAGAAATAAAAAAATAATAGTTTGTTAGGCTGTAACCAGTTTCCAACTCATGACCTTCTCATTAACTTCAGAACTAACGCAGAGTAACATTGCTTCAGTGCAAGAGTAGAGCAAATGCCCTTCAAAGTCTCATTTTTGGAAATCCTATGTTGTCATGAAAATTCCATTATGACCTGGACAGAAAGTTATGTTGAATACTTTAGTGATGTAAAACTTGGTATCTTATGAGTAGTGTAATGCTCCCTTGTCAATCAAGAAGCCACTGGTTCTGTTGGTGCAAAGACAATTGATAGAGTTTAGTTCTCCATGAGCTAAGAATTTCCTACAAGTGCAACTGATTTTATTCAGTTGATTTTTATCCAGTTGTTTATTGCTTTTATTCATTAAGCATCTTTTGAGACTCTATGGAGTCCCAAGGACATTTAATAAATACTTTAATTATACCATGTTTAGTAAAGTGTGGGACATTCTGAACGCCTCTCTTAGGAAGATATTGGAGTGGTGTGGAGGGGAGGGAGGAGTTGTGTGTTTTATAGAAAGTTGCTAGAAAGGTACTGTTGTAGGCAAAATAATGGCTCCCTAGAGCCTGTGAATGTGTTTACCTAAAGTGACAAAAGGGACTTGCAAATATGATTAAGAATCTTGAAAAAAAAAAAAAAGAGAGAATCTTGAGTTGGGGAGATTATATTGAATTATCTGGGTTGGGCCTTTATAATCACAGGGGTCCTTATAAGAAGAAGGTAAGAGGATCAGAGAAGAAAAGGAGATGTGATGACAGAGACATTAGTCAGAGTGATGAAGGGCCACCAGCCGAGGAACGTGAGTAGTTTCACAAGAAGCTGGCAAAGGCAAGAAAATGGATTCTCCCCCAGTACCTGCAAAAGAAACTCAGCTCTACCAACTCATTTTGGACTTCTGACCTCCAGAACTAGAAGATGATAAACTTGATTGTTTTAAGCCACTGAGTTCATAGTAATTTGTTACAGCAGCAATAGGAAAATACTGTAGGTATTTAAACTGTGAACAGTGGTTATTGCCCTCTGGAGATCTGAGAATGAAGATTGGGGTCTTAGAGGGCTTTTACTCTCCATCCTTCACACTTTTTTGTTTTATTATGGATTTGTATAGCATCTTTAATAAAAATAAATAATCATTAAAAGAGAAACTAGATAATATTAAGTGAAATAAATTGTATATGGAATAATCTCTCAACCATGTAAAAAATTAGATGAAAATAAGAAGGAAGCTTACTAAAATGTTAGCAGTTTTCAGTCCTGGGTATTGAGATTGGGAATGTTCAATATTCATGTACCTGTTCATTCACTCAACAGTGAATGAACTGTTGAACAGTGAATATTTTTAAAAAATATTCTTTTTTTAAAATTTATTTGGCTGCATTGGGTCTTCATTGCTGCACGCGGGCTTTCTCTAGTTGCAGTGATCGGGGCCTACTCTTCATTACGGTGCACGGACTTCTCATTGCAGTGGCTTCTCTTGTGGAGCAGAGGCTCTAGGGGTGTGGGCCTCAGTAGTGGTGGCATGCGGGCTCAGGAGTTGTGGCTCATGGGCTCTAGAGTGCAGGCTTAGTAGTTGTGGCTCAGGGGCTTAGTTGCTCTGTGGCACGTGGGATCTTCCCAGACCAGGGCTCGCACCCATGTCCCCTCCATTGGCAGGCGGATTTTTAACTACTGCGCCACCAGGGAAGTCCCTCAACAGTTATTCATCTATCTGTGCTGGAGAATGTGCTAGGAACTGAGATTGCAAATGAGAATAAAATAGAGATGACCCCTGCCCTCGTGGAATTTAGATGTAGTAGGGAACAGGCAATTACACAAATTATTAATTATATTTTGAAAAGTTCAACAAAGGAGAAGTACAGGTGATGTCATCATGTCCTAAGGCAGGCTAACCTAGTCAGGGGATGCTTTCCTGAGGAACTTCAGCTTAAAACTAAAGGATAAATGGAAATTTGCCAGACAGAGGTGGAAAACAAAATTTTCTTAATTTTCTGTAAAGAGCACATATCACTTTTACTATTATAAAAAATGAGTCCTTCTAGTGTTTTTTTTAAAGGAATAACTAACACTCCTCCCTCTCTTTATATCTGGAAACACAGCTGCTCAGTGCTAGAAATGGTCTGCTCATATGGCTTGATTTAGCCAAATTTAGCTTAATGAACAGACATTTTCCTCTTTCTCTCATATACTTCAGTCAATTGAAATATTTAAGTTAATAAATTGAAGCCACTGGACAAAAAGAGTAAAATAAAATAATGGTTAAATAGCTTCTTTGTCCAGAGCTTACATTAGGAAACTATGAGATGTATTACCTTTTGATAGTCAATCTATCAAGAAGAGCTGTGAAATGCACTTAACATTGACCTTGAGGGAATTAAAACCCAGGTTCTTTGCCCATCACAGTGCTATTTTTATCAGATCAAAATTAAGGAACACAAGGAAAGGAACAAAGAGCAAAAATTATTTTGAAATCAACACAAAGGGTATCACTAAAGGAATTTTTCTTAACTTCATAAATGAAATAACTGGATATTAAAAAAACCAAAAGTTCCAAATTTCTCAACACTAAAATCTTCTAACTGTTACAATTCCCAGATGAGTAGTAATTTTCCGAACTATAATTTGTGATTACCTTCATATGGGTAGAGGGGAAAATAACATCTCTATAATAAATATGCCCTCATTAATAACTACTGTGACATCAAAATTTCTAAATAAAATCTTACCAATTTTAAGTGATCCTTTTTGTTTGTTTACTTGCTTACTTCTCAGTACACTTAGATGTCTGTAACATTTTGAGCAATAATGTCCTTTAATTAGAATCAGCATAAATGTGCCTATGTTCAATAAAAAAGTGTCATAATGTAGAATTATAATAATAATGACACAATAAGAAGTTAAATTTCAGTTGCAGCAGAGATTTATATCAGCTAAATTACAAATAGGAGAGACTAAAAGTAAAGATATCAATGTGATAATAAAATGGAAGATTTAGAATTCAGATATTCTTGCTTTAGATGAAATAAATAAAGTATTTTGGATCTGTGGTGGATTGAATAGTGTCCTCCCAAAATTCTTGAACGCCTGGAACCTCAGAATGTGACCTTATTTGAAAAGAGGGTCATTGCAGATGTAATCAAAATAAGGATCAAGGGGCTTCCCTGGTGGCGCAGTGGTTAAGAATCCTCCTGCCAATGCAGGGGACACAGGTTCGAGCCCTGGTCCAGGAAGATCCGACATGCCGTGGAGCAGCTAAGCCCTTGCGCCTCAACTACTAAGCCTGCACTCTGGAACCTGCAAGCCACAACTCCTGAGCCCGCGTGCCACAACTACTGAACCTGCGTGCCTAGAGCCCATGCTCCGCAACAAAAGAAACCACCGCAATGAGAAGCCCGCGCACCGCAACGAAGAGTAGCCCTTGCTCACCGCAACTAGAGAATGCCCGCATGCAGCAATGAAGACCCTACACAGCCAAAAATAAATAAATTAATTAATTAATTTTTAAAAATAAGGATCAAAATGAGAACATACTAGATTAGGGTGGACCCCTAAATCCAATTATTTATGTCTTTATAAGAAGAGGAAAGCACACAGAGAGAAGAAAGTCATGTAAGGTGGTTGAGGAAGGCAACTAAAAGCCAAGGAAAACCAAGGATTGCTAGGAGCCACCAAAGGCTAGCAAGAAGCAAGGAAGGATTTGTGCTTCCCCAGAGCCTTCAGAAAACATAGCCCTGCCAACACTTTGATTTCCAACTTATAGACTCCAGAACTGTGAGAGAAATTTTCTGTTGTTTTACACCACCTAGTTGGTGGTAATTTGTTATGGCAGCTCTAGGAAACAAATATAGGCTCTAATGTAGCTATTTTCATAACCAACAAATATATTTTAGTATTATGCTGGCTGCGTTCTTTATTTTGTCCTCTTCTTTAACCTCTCTTATTGTAGAAATAGAGACTAAGAACAGTTTGTTTTATGATGATTATAGCAACCAGTATTTATTCACTCAACAAACATTTGTGCACTGCATTAGTAAGGATAATTTTGCCCAAAAGCAACAGAAACTTCCACTAACAGTGATTTAAACCAAAGATATATAATTACTTGGCAAGACAAGCAGTGCACTGAAAGGTGGTTTCAAGGTTGGTTTGCAAACTCAATGATTTCTTCAAAGACCAACAGTCCTGTTCTGCCACCTCAGTCTATTGACTCTGGGATCCTGATTTGTTTGTCACGGTAGCATATATCCTCCAAATATCATATCCTTGCATATCAAGAAAGACAATCTTAATGGCCTCCTAGCAGACTTTGCCTTACATGCGATTATCCAAGGCTTGGTCACATGCCTATTTCCAGACGTGACAAAGGGGCACAGGATTAATAGTAACCAAGGTCAATCACTGTTTGTCCCTGATCTCTGGTAACTGCTTTCAGTAAAAGCTAGGATTCTGTGAGCAAAGAAGGAGGAGTAGAATCACTGAGGAAAAGATACACATATTTAATTTCACACGGCAAAGCCAGATTTCTCTCCAAAATAGATGGTCCATGTAAACCACTACGAACAGTGCATGAGGATTCCTGTGCCCCACTTGTCATTTCTCTCTCTCTCCTTTTTTTCCCATTCTAACAGGGGTAAACTGATAGCTCATTGTTTTAATGTGCATTTGCATTTCTCTGAATACTGATACTTTTGAGCATGTCTTCATATACTTGTTAACCTTTTAGAGTTCCTCTTTTGTAAATTACCTATTCATATTCTTTGCCCATTTTACAGTTGTGTTTTCTATCTTTTCCTTGTGTATTTGCAGGTGTTCCTACAAAGTACAGATATTTAATCCTTTATTGGTTTTAGACATTTCAGGTATGTTCTACCCCTCCTGTCATTGGTTTTTCTCCTTGGTTCATGTTGTCCTTCATTGAACAGAAATCCTAATTTAATGAGATTAAAGTATATATGCCTCACAGAGTTACTGTGAACTTTAAATACGACGATGTATATAAAACTCTTGGCTACAATGCCAGGTACAAAGTTAAGAGCTTCCTAAATAAACCTCAGATATTATTGCTATCGTTATTATTCATTTAACCTTATTTTTTCCCAGAAGAGTCACAACTGTCTCTTGTTACCATAACACCCTACATGTATTTCTATTGTAGCAATAGTTTTATTGTCTCTTATGGTGGACTGATTGCATCTTTGAGGTCAAGGACCATGCCTTTTTCATCTTGTATTCCCATGATCTAGGACATACTAAATAAAAATGCTCAATAAATGTATTTTGAATAAACATATGAACAAATGAGATTTCAAAAATTTTAAATAATGAAGAATACTAACTGGGGGAAAGAATAACTATAGAAATCATGGGAAAGTTTTATATTAAAAATATAAGATAGGAGAAAATATTTTAAAAAGACACATCTGATAAAGGTCTGTTATCCAAAATACAGAAAGAAAATAAGAAAATGAATACCATATTTTAAAATGGATGAAAGACCTGAACAGACACTTCACCAGAAAAGATATACAGGTGGCAAATAAGCATATGAAAAGATGATCCACATCATAGGTTATCAGAGAAATGCAAATTAAAACAACGAGATACCACTATACATGTATTAGAATGGCCAAAATCTAAACACTGACAACACCAAATGCTAGCAAGGATGTGGAGCAACAGGAACTCTCCCACATTGCTGGTGGGAATGCAAAATGGTACAATTACTTTGGAAGGCAGTTTGGCAGTTTCTTGCAAAATTAAATGTACTTTTACCACACAGTCCAGCAGTTGTGCTCCCTAGTATCTACCCAAATGAGCTGAAGGCTTATGTCCACACAAAAACCTGTATGTGGATGTTTATGGCAGGTTTATTCATTTTTGCCAAAACTTGGAAACAACCAAGATGTCCTTCAGTAGGTGAATGGATAAATAAATTGTGGTACATCCACACAGTGGAATATTATTCAGTACTGAAAATAAATGGGCCATAAAGCCATAAAAAGACATGGAGGAATCTTAAATGTATATTACTAAATGAAAAGCCAATTTGTGAAAGCTACATACAATCAATATGTGCTTCCAACTATACAACTTTCTGAAAAAGGCAAAACCATAGAGACTTTTAAAAGATTAGTAGTTGCCAGCGATTGGGGGAAGGGAGAGATGAATAGGCAGAGCACAGAGAATTTTTAGGGCAGTGAAGCTATTCTATATGATACTACAGTGTGGACACATGTCATAATACACTTGACCAACCCATAGAATGTACTGCACCAATAGTGAACCCTAATGTAAACTATGGACTTTAGGTGTTAATATAATTACATCACTTGTAACAAATATACCACTGTGGTACAGAATGTCGATAATGAAAAAGATTGTGTGTGTGGTGCAGAGGAGGGAGCAGAAAATATAAGGGAACTCTACTTTCCATTCAATTTTGCTATGAACCTGAAAATTCTCTAAGAAATAAAGGCCTACTGTATAGCACAGGGAAAAATAAAAAGATGGTACAATCTGTTTGCAGGACATTTGTTAAGTTAACCTTAAAAATGCATTCTAATATACATTGGGTGCAGACAAATACTGTTTGATTCCACTTATACAAGGTACCTAGAATAGTCAAATTCATGGAGTCAGAAAGTACATTGGTAGATGCCAGGGGCTGGGAGTTAGCGGGGGAGGGGGAATGGGGAGTTAGTGTTTAATGGAGACACAGTTTCAGTTTAAGAAGGTGAAAAATTCAGGAGATGGATGATGGTGAGAGTTGCACAACAATGTGAATGTACTTAGCGTCACTGAACTGTACAGTTAAATATGGTTAAAATAGTATGTTTTATATTATGTGACTTTTACCACAATAAAAAAAAATTTTTAATAAATAAAATGCATCAATAAAAAGTACAGACCATGTTATTCTTACAGAACAAGAAAAGACAATTGGTGAGGACCAAATTCAGTGAATTATTCTAAAAGAAAACAACATGGTATGTTAAAGAAAGCAAAATGAGTCTATTATTAGTAAGAAAAAGTAGGGACATTTTTAAATGATGATTCTATGTGTGATATATAATTTTATTTTGATTAACTGTTATTTTAACTACAGTACTAAAAAATATTTTTAACCACATCAGCTAACAAATAGCAAGATGGATAGATTTAAATTGCAAATAAGCAAAACAGTTGTATGGGGCAGTCAGCCAAAGGGAGCAGGACAAAAGTTAAAGGGCATGAATAATCTATAAGTTAATAATCATTACTAGACCTTTAGTATTAGCTATATATATTAACACTGGACAGATTCATCAACAATTAAGAAATTCTTTGAGACTCACAAAATATTTTACCAGCCTAAAGATTATTTTAAGTAATGACCCTGAATATTCCCGAATGTCACTGCATCTCTGCAGAGTTAAACTCAGCATTTTGTATAGCTTCCTTGAATGTATATGGATGAGCAAATGATCATCATTTATACCTAAGGAAATTAGGGTTTTAATCTCAGTTTCATAAATTTGGGTTAGACATCAGAAAGAAATTTATGACCATAATGTTTTTTAAGAAGTTTGTAAACTACCTCCTCTGGAGATTTTTGTGAATTTTGTAAAAACTGCATCTTTATAATGGTTTTGGCAGTAAGGCTTCTGCAGTTATCATCAAAAATTATATGATTCTGTATGTACACCTTAATCTTCCTATTTGTGCATTTAATTTTCTTATTGTCTAAGAAGCATACTTTAGATGTAGAGCCCCTTCCAAGGCCGCCAAGACCAACAGTGACCAGTCTTGACTAGGCATGCTTTTCTCAATATCCTATTTGTTTAATTTCCTCTGTTGAACCTAATGATATTAAATATAACCAACATGAATTGCTATCTATGGAGGCTAAAGCTGAACATAGAACCTCTAGAGGCCATCTTTTGGTCTCTTGAGTCTGTTATGGCCTAGTGGTTAAAAGTATAGCCCTTGGGGCTTCCCTGCTGGCACAGTGGTTGGCAGTCTGCCTGCCAGTGCAGGGGACATGGGTTCGAGCCCTGGTCTGGGAAGATCCCACATGCCGCGGAGCAGCTAAGCCCGTGAGCCACAACTACTGAGCCTGCGCGTCTGGAGCCTGTGCTCTGCAACGGGAGAGGCCGCGACAGTAAGAGGCCCGCACACCACAATGAAGAGTGGCCCCCACTCGCCGCAACTGGAGAAAGCCCTTGCACAGAAACAAAGACCCAACACAGCCAAAAATAAATATAAATAAATAAATAAATTTATTTTAAAAATATATATATATATAGCCCTTGGAGTCAGTCCTGGTCTCGGCTAGACATTACTAGCTATGTCTCTTTGGTCAAGTTATATAATTCTTCTAAACTTAGTCCTCATATACTAAGTGGAACTAATAATAATGCGTACTTCATGAGATATTGTGTATATATGTATGCTAAAGCCCCTAGTTCAGTGTCTGATACATGATGAGTGTTCAGTTAATAGTTATTAGCATTTCCTTCTTCCCACCCATTATGGTCAGCCCCATTCCCTGTCTCCAGCAAGTTCTCTAGTTTGTTCTCTGCCTGCCCCAATAGAACACCAAATTGTGGGTCTAAGGGGTCAAAAATTATTCTGGTAATTTGATTTGTAACTGCACTGCAAAATGTACTCCCAGTGCCTTCCTGAGTTTTACTTTATTAATAAAATTAATTATTTTCAATGTTCTTGTTTTTCCCATAACTTCAATGAAATCTTTGCAAAATTCAAATTAGTATTTCTAATAGTTCTATCCATGGGAATAGTAAAATAGAGTTAAGTTATACTTCACATTGCCAGACACCTCTCTCTGTAGTGGCATATTTGGGGTAATAAATGAAATTTTCACATAAATTAGATCTTTCATAGAATTTTGAATTTTATTTGTCTGTTCTGATGAAAAAGCCTAATCTTTCCGAGTGTGGTTTCAAAATCTTCTTCGCCAATAAGAGATAAATTGTTTTGAATACAGAAGTACATATCAGTGAAAGATATGTAGGGTTATGATGTCAATAACTTTCTATAGCTGCATCCTATTGTTTCAAAAAATACAAAGTAAAAGTTACTTTAGTTCTTAAGGGCATCATTAAGGTGTAGAGGTCTGAGAACAAATTTAATCAAAATAAAATGCAGGGCTTCCCCTGGTGGCGCAGTGGTTGAGAGTCCGCCTGCCGATGCTAGGGGACACGGGTTCATGCCCCGGTCCGGGAAGATCCCACATGCCGCGGAGCGGCTGGGCCCGTGAGCCATGGCCGCTGAGCCTGTGCGTCCGGAGCCTGTGCTCCGCAAGGGAAGAGGCCACAACAGTGAGAGGCCTGCATACTGCAAAAAATAACATGCATTTTTACTCCTTTTGTTTGTACCACAAAATGAATATGAATGCTTTGCTTACATTTCATTTCTTTTTACAGTTGGAACTTTTTATCATTTGAAATCTAAATTGATTTTTCCAGTAAGTAAAACAAATTTTAATGTCCCCGTGTAGCTCTCTTGTTTTCTTCATCCCTTCTTTAAAGGAGATTTATAATTATTTCAAAAAAAAAAAGTTAATAAGGCCATTTTAAGCCAGTCTCAAGGATTCAAAAGAAAGTTTAGACTTAATTAGAGAAAATTGTCTAAAACTGATCTTGGAGATCTTAGTGAAGACACAATTCGGGCAAGAGAAACATTTTCTGACTAAGTACCATGTGCCAGGCATCACAGGAAGCCCCATAGATGCAAAGTTAAATAGCACAGTTCTTAGTTGCAAGGGGCTCATCCTGTAGGAAGGGAGGCAAAGAGCAGCCACTTGAATAAACAATAGAGTAACAGGGTTCTAGAGCTATGATGAAGGTATATTAAAGTCTTACTGGAGTGTAGAGAAATCGTTAATTCCAGTTAACTTCTCTAAGCCTAGTTTTTCTATTTGTATAATGGAGACTAACATTAGCCCTATCTCATAGGTCATTAAAACGATAAAACGAGGGCTTCCCTGGTGGTGCAGTGGTTGAGAGTCCGCCTGCCAATGCAGGGGACACAGGTTCGTGTCCCGGTCCGGGAAGATCCCACATGCCGCGGAGCGGCTAGGTCCGTGAGCCACGGCCGCTGAGCCTGCGCGTCCGGAGCCTGTGCTCAGCAACGGGAGAGGCCACAACAGTGAGAGGCCCGCGTACCACAAAAAAAAAAAAAAAAAAAAAAGATTAAATGAGATAATAATGTGAAGCATTATAGCTTGCATGTGATAAGTACTCAGTAAGTTTAACAGCTGTCATTATTTTTAGTATTGCTATAATTATTATTAGGAAGAGTCAGGGAGGGTTTCACTGAGCAGGCAATATTAGAACTGGGTGTCCGGAGATGGGGGGAAAGAATAAGAATTTGCCTGATCGGAAGGGGCAAGGAAAATTCCAGGCAGAGGTAAGGACACAATCCAAGATACAAACTGGGGAAAAGCATGCTGTTAATTTTTTTTTTTTCATGCTGTTAATTTTTGAGGAAGGATGAGTAACCCAAGTAACTGGAATGTAGGAGCATGGGTCTGACTGATGAGAAATGGGGCTAGACTGTGAAGAACTTTGGACTCAATGCCAAGTGCTGAGTTTCATCCTGTGGACAGTACGCAGCCATTATAAAAAAGTGTTTTTCCAAGTAGCAAAGTAATACAATCAAATTTATGTTTTAGGAAGACAGCGGTAAAGATACTAGAGACAGGAGGCTACAATAGTTTAAATGAGAAAAGTAGTGATAGCTAACAGACAATGCTTATAATGTTCATATGCTAATTATTTGCCTATTTATGTATATTCTTATTACACCTCTATAAAGAAGATGCTATTATCTCCATTTTACAGAAGTTAAACTTAGGTATACAGTTGCTAAATAATTTGCTTAAAGTGTCCATGGGTAGGAAGTGTTAAGGCTAGGATTCAAACCCAAAATGTCTTACTCTTGAGCGTGTATATTTAACCACTATCCTTCATCGCTTCTCAATTAATAAGAGTCTAGCTAGAGAAAAAGCAGTAATGGAAAGGGAAGGTGTATTCAAGGGGCATTTTGAAGGTAGAATCAACAGAATTTGATGACTGATTTTTTCACTCAATAAAATTTGAGTGAGTTCCTACCACATGGCAAGCACCTGCAGCTAAAACAATGAAAAAGTAGGCATGACACCTGTTCTCAGGAAACTTATTTGCCAGTGGAAGAGAAATTTGTGGTTTATATTAAGAACAAAGAAAGAAAGAAATAGAATGATAGTTAATAGAAAATAATACAAGGGGAGTTACTTTACTTAGGTCAGTTGTGACTCTGAGAAGGTGGTCTTTAAGCTAGCATATAAAGAATCCTAATAGGCCAGCCATGAGGTAGAAAATCCGAGTTATTAGAGTTCAGCAAAAGGAGAATAGTGGCATGAGATGAGGTTGGAGAATCAGGCAGACACCACATTTAGGGCCATGGTAAAACTTGCACATAAGTCTGAGTGTTACAAAATGCTCTGAAGAATTTCAAGGAGAGGAGTGAATTGGTGTTGAGGGAAGAGGAGAGAGTAGCCGCTGAGGATTCTCTCAGAATGGGTGACTGAGATGATGCTGTTTCCAACACGAAAGGCATATACAGAAGAAGGAGCAATTGGAGTCATGGAGGGTAATAGTGAGTTCAGTTTGGGTTACTTAGAGTTTGAATTATCTACAGAGCTGCCAAGCCAAAAACATAGGTCTAGACTGAGCTTACTAGTAGAAGAGTCAAGGGTAGACTTCAACATTTGTGTCATAAGCTGGTCCTTGAAATCAGTGGTGATATCACTCAGGGAGCACCTGCAGACCAGGTTTAGGCAAAGAAAGATGGAAAACCAGCCTGAAAGGGGGTGATCAATGTGGAAGTAGAAGGACCAATAGGGAGAGAATTTGGGGGTGTAGGGGCTTGGGGAGGACACATGCAACAAACATCAAGAAGGAAGAGGCCTGGGAAGAAGGGTTAGATTTGGGGATTCAGAGGTCATTATGATCTTTGCTAGAGCAATTAAAAATCATCTCTCCTTTTTTTCACAGAAATCCATCCAGAGCCTGGTTAATCCAATTGCGGTAACATGGGTAAAATCACTTACATGCAACTGTTATATATAGATATCTTTACATTTTATATATCTGTTGATATGATTATAATGATTCATTATTTCAGTTCCTGGTATTGTTTTGTGTTTCCAGAGGGAAAGATACAGTAAGCTGGTAGGAAAGCTTCAAGAAGCAATTTAAGCTAAAATTTGAAACAAGAGTACGTTTTCCATAGATGAATTGGGGATGGGGGTGGGGGAGGTGGGGGAGGGATTTCAAATACCCAGAAGGACACAAATAAAATTGCAGATGTCCAGAAGCAAAAAAAGTTCTAGAGAGATGGTAATTGGATCTATTTAGTGGGCCTGACTAAGGGTTCTTTTATGACAGTCGTTAGTAGTAAAGCTAGAAAGCTGATTCATGATAGAATGTGGAGGAGTTTAAATGCAAGATTCCACATGCTGGAATCTTCTCCTGTAGGTGATGAAGAATCCCTGAGGATGAGGAAGGAAGGAAGAGACAGGATAAGACTACCATTAACCTGAGAATAGTGTTCAGCAGACTGCAGGCAGCAAGGCAAGTTAATATGAAGCCCTTTCCCAGTTAGGCAGAAGTCAGATGACTAGGCTCTAGCAAGTGGATCCCTCATCAATCAAGACAGTGCGCAGGGCTGGCACACGAAATTGAAGAACAGATATGCTGAAAGATACTAAAAACAGAGCCAGACTAGAACATCCAAAATCTATTCATCCATCTAAAAAGCAATATGGAATATGAGAGCCAAGATGTAGAGTCACAACAAGGTGAGAGTAACTGAGAGATCCACAGGAGGTAGACATGGCAGGAGGAAGTGAGGCTGAAGAAATTCTCAAGTCAGGTTACATAAGCTGCCACAGTCTGGTGGTGAGAGGCAGAATGTGAATGGGGTTGCAAATATAAGAGATATTTCAAAGAAAGAATCCGCGAGATTTGTTGACTATTAGATGTCAAAAGGGGGAGAGTTTTGGACACTGTGAATGCAAAAATGGGGATGCCATTAATAGACATGGGGAGAAAAGCGAAGGTTAGTTTTAAAAGGTGATGTGAAGGTGAAGAATTTGGATTTGGACGTGTTATTTTGAGGTGATGTTAGGTCCAAGTAGAAGTGTCTTCAAGGTCACTGAAATGTGAGATTGGAGGTCGGGATTGGAGGTAGGCCCTGTTTGTATAGATAGAACCAGATGGAGGTGTTGGAATGCATGAAATTCCCAAGAGTCAGAGGTTTAAGAAGAGAGAAAAATCAAGAGCCAAAACCAGAACCTCTCGGTTTGAGACAAGAGTAGAAAGGGAGAAAAAAGAATGAACTAAAGAGGTAGGAAGAAAATTAAAATAGACTAATGTCGCAGAACCCAGAGAGGACTATATGGATGGAGATGGTCACAGGTGAGAGTAAGTGCTGTGGGATAGTAGCTTCAGGCTCTCGCCAGTGTGTCTGTGCCCTCTCTACATTCTCCTCTGTCCATTCCCCAGCACTTCCTCACATAAGTAACTCCCCTACTTGGTCAGGGCATCCATTGCCTCCAGAGGATAGCAGGAATGTAGAAATGGTCAACACTCATATTTTGAATTCCAAAGTAGGCCCTTGAAACTTTTTTGTTTTAAAAAGATGCACTTAAAAAAAAAAAAAAATGTAGGGCTTCCCTGGTGACGCAGTGGTTGAGAGTCCACCTGCCGATGCAGGGGACATGGGTTAGTGCCCGGGTCCGGGAAGATCCCACATGCCGCAGAGCGACTGGGCCCGTGAGCCATGGCCGCTGAGCCTGCGCGTCCAGAGCCTGTGATCTGCAACAGGAGAGGCCACAACAGTAAGACAGTAAGAGGCCCACATACTGAAAAAAAAAAAAAAAAGCTGCACTTTAGAAAAATTGAGGCCTAATGTTTCTTCCAAAAAAGTGCCAAAGTAACACCCACTTACCGTCTTCTAGGGAGAAGAGTTTCAAGTGAAAGAAGAAAGCTTAGACTCTGATAGGTCCTCACAATAGGCCTTTTTCCTGCCCATCCAAGAGCCAGTCTTGGGGAAGGTAGTAGATAACAGGCCCACCATGTGAACCTTGAGGGGAGTCTCTAGACAAGGCTTGTGTCTGCTTCACAACCGTGCTCTGCACGTGAGTCACAAAGCGTCCCAAAGAAGTGCCTTGGGCCACACAAGGGGAAGGCAGTGGGACAGAGAAGCCCAGTGACAGCTATGGGTGGCTCACAGCCCTGGGGAAGGGAGGGGACACCTTCTCCTTGATTCAGAGAATGAAATATACAAAGCAAACAGCCAGAGGACCAAAGGGTCTCAGAGTCCTTCAAAAGGGTCATATCTGCAGACCTCTGTGTGAACTGTGCCAACAGGAAACCAGATGCGAACCTAGTATATTTCAACATGAGCAATTACCCGCCACCTCAGAGGATTCCAGGGGAGAATTCTCTGCTTATTCAATGCCATAATGCTATACATGACCCCTCTAACACCTGCTCCCACTCTCTCCCCCCTTAAATGAGATGCCATCCTAGGGAGAGGAGGGAGAGCGCTCTGAACTGGGCTACATTTAAAGCCAAATTACTAGAAATTACCATATTTACCTGAGTTTACCTCAAGTTACAAGATACAGTTCTCTACTATGAGGTGGAAACAAGTGCTGGAAGTAGAAATTAAATTTTATTATGGAAAAATAAAGTGAGTTATCATCTTTTGCACGGCCTACTTGTTTGTGTCTGTGGAATTTGCACCTGCTACATATATAGGCCTAAAGACTATGTTGCTCCTTGAATAATTACAATATTCTAGTTTTGATACAGACCCCAAAAGACACAAAAATGCTAAAAATTAAGAATAAAATCATACGTAAGCAATATGTAATAGTGCCACAAGGGTTATATATGAGGTTATGGATGTCAGAGAAAAGTAAGTTTTTTATTCCATTGTAGATAATTAAGCAGTAGTGATACAGCCATTCAATTTTCACTACTGCTCTTCTAACGATAGCTATAAAGGACATCAAATATAATCTGTACAGTTTAAGTATGTCAAATACCATTCGACTTCTATTCTAAGAACATAGAAATGGAATCTTCTAAATACAAGTCAATTAAATGCTTTTGAAATTACTTGGACAAAGGATCCATTTTTACCCCCAAATGTTATTATCAGGGAAGAAAGTGCTTTTAAAAATCCATTACATTATTCCAGCTGAGGGTTGTGAGTGAAGTGTAGTGATGATTTATTTTATTACAAAAAAAAAGGCTTATAAAGAAAATCTAACTCCATTAAGAAAAGAAAAGCAGTATATTCCTTTAGTGCCAAACATTGTCAGATTTGATCAATTTAAGATGTATGCAATCCTGGCTTTCTCGGGCACCCTAATCACATTGCAGAGGTCAAGGTGGTGAGCATAACAAAACCTAGGTAATGAATACAGTCTGGCTCTGAACTTTTATCCAGCAATTCTGCTGGATAAAAAAAAAATCTATCAGTGTTGCACCACAAAATATTCCAGGAGCCTCAGGTCTCTTCTACCTTTGTGTTAATTCCTTTACCAAACAGGAGACTTACGGAGAGGTTCAGGAAGTCTCTGTTCCCGGATATTTGCTTAATAGTCTTAGTCCTAGGGGCCTAGATCATCAATCTAAATGGGTCCCTTTTCTATTTCTGATGAATCCCTTCAGGTGATCATTACAGGAAACCTATAGTGGGTAGATGGATTGGTTCTACATCTAGGTCCTTCCTAGAAGAGACAAAGTGTACTTATCCTAAAATGTAAAAGGCATTTCCACTTCAAAAATCCAAAAGAATACATACTCTGCTAGTACAGAGTCATGATTTACCAAAACCTGGGAAACATGCCTGCTGAGAGGGCTCTGCTTTTCCAGTGGCAGGAGTGAGGAGGGAGCCCTGTGCTCTCTGGAACTCATGGATCGTCATCAGCAGATTCTCTTATTTTCTCAGTCCCTTCTCTCATCATTTCCTTCACCTTCTTGCTTCATTGTAAACCTGGCTCGTCCCTGGGATCCTCTACATACAAGCTGCTTTTCCTCCATTTACCTGGAAATATTGGGCCTTGCAGGTAAAATAAGATGTAAGATAGGTGTCCTCCTTACTTCACCTCCAGGTCATTCTCTTTCTTTCCTTTCTAAAATTCTCTGATTTTGAATCTCAAATCATCTGTCTATACTACACCTTACCTCTTCCTGTTGCAATCATCCACCAAATTTTAATTCCTGGCTTACATCCCTCTCTTCAACACAATTACTGTCTTCACTCTGTCACTTCAAACTCCAGGAGGATGAGCCTTCCAGTAGTCTAGCCCCTCCTCCATGATTCTTTACCTCCTCTCCGCCGTGATCTTGTCCATCACTTTACATCAGCCACTCATTCCTATGATATATCTTAGACCTTGTTGTTACCAAAAATTGAAAACCTTCCATAATCTAAATTTCCAGCCTCTAACTTCCCACCACCACCTATTTTTCTAGCTCCCTCTTTTAGAACCCTGTCTTCAAACATCTCTGATCATATCAAAACCAACGATTCATTGATTCTATCACCTTCTCACTTTTCCTCACCTCATCTCAAGTGCTCATGTCCCTCTTCAAATAATTTGACTTCCACATTCAGCCATTACAATCCAGGCTTCCCTGGTGGTGCAGTGGTTAAGAATCTGCCTGCCAATGCAGGGGACACGGGTTCGAGCCCTGGTCCAGGAAGATCCCACATGCTGTGGAGCAACAAAGCCCACGCGCCACAACTATTGAGCCTGTGCTCTAGAGCCCGCGAGCCACAACTACTGAGCCTGCATGCCACAACTACTGAAGCCCACTCACCTAGAGCCCATGCTCCATAACAAGAGAAGCCACTGCAATGAGAAGCCTGTGCACCACAGCAAAGAGTAGCCCCCGCTCAATGCAACTAGAGAAAGCCCGCGCACAGCAACGAAGACCCAACACAGCCAAAAATAGATAAATTAATTAATTTTAAAAAATCATTACAATCCATTCTCTTACATTCATATTCACTTCGTCATATTCCAGCATACAGCATATATGCTTGCTTAAAACCTAACCCCTGTTACAGCCAACTCTCCATTGACAACATGCTCAAAACTCAGTCTAATCCATCATCAAACATGTCTTCAGAATATACCATGGATACAATTGATTTTTACCACCTCTGCCATCAACACCCTGGTCCAAGCCACCATCACTCTCTCTCTCTCTCTCTCTCTCTCTCTCTCATTGTAATAACCCTCTAACTGGTTTTTCTGCCCCCTCTCTCTCTAAACTCTACTCTCCATGCAGTAGCCATAGTAAATCTGTTAACATGTAAGTCAGATCACATCACTCCTCTGCTAAAAACTCTAATCCCTTCCATCCCACCCAGAGTAAAAGCCAATGTCCTTACAACGACTTACCAGGGCTTACCAACCAAATATTTGTACTAAGTAAATATTTGTTGAAAAAATGAATATTTGTGAATAAAGAACTATTCTAAAAATGTATCCATAGTATCTAAGGATGCCCTCTCTGTGCTTTCCTCCCTACAGCTAAGAGCTTCAGGCTCGAAGTGGGTTACACCTGGCATACCCTCCAGACCACTAGTGGAAACTTCTTAATTGTACTTGAACTCTGTGAGGTCAAGGACGAAGTGTTGGTTACTTTTATAAACTTACCCTTAACATGATGGCTGGCACAGAGTAGACTCATATATTTGTTGTGTTTACCACAAAATACCATACGTGAGGGAAGAAAGGATGTGTGTAGAATCAGTGAACCTGCCCAGGTGGCTTGAGAAATTCATTACCAATATGAAATAATTAGATTCCCTGCTGCCACTCATCCTAAAGGATACTGCCAAAACCTCTCACATGATAAAGTCCTTCATCAGAAATCAACAGCTGCAGTTTGGAGTGGATTCCCATTTGGGATCCATGTCTGAAACCCAAGTTTGGCTTCTGTGTCCTTGATGTTTTAATCTATATGCGCTTCTTTCCCACTTGGCAGCACACAAGGTTCCTGTACTTCAATGTCATTTGCTTTAGAGGATAACTGCCTGCTGCTTTGAAATGGACCCAACAGACTCTCCAAAGTGACTTTCAACTCTGCTGTACACTCTGTATTGTAAGTCAAACCATCCTCAGTGAATTCCTCTCAAACATGATGGAATTTCATCCAGGTGTTATGGTATGCTATAGTATCACAGAGGCAAGCAGAGAGAAACTTTTATTTAAAATAAAAATATATATATGCTTCTGTATTTATAGATACTTCCTGGAAAGAAAAATAAGACACTATTAATGACAGTAACCCTTGGCAACAGCATAAAGTGTTAGCATAGAGGGTGAAAAAGCACAAATTTACTTTTTCACTTCTATACCTTTTGAGAATTTTAAATCTTGAGTCTATAAGTTTATGAGCTCAGAAACATCCTTCCCAGCTATGTTTAGGGATTGCTTCTGCTTACCGGCTTACATGTCCTTACAATCTGAGCTCCTCTCCTTCTTGTTCCGGAGCCCTTGCCTAGAGCTCTCTTCAATTTCAGAAGAAAGATTCTTTTTATTTTATATATTTTCAAAGTAGTTTAATCTAAGGGAGAAACAGGTTAAATCTTTATAGAACATTTGCAAATGTACTTTGCTCTGTGTTGGCATGTCCAGTGGACTCATTCGAACCATTTCACAATAATAATAAGAGCTAGTGTTTATTGAGCCTGGTCTAAATGCTTTACATGCATTAACTCATTGAAAGCTCTCCAGAACTCCCTATGATAGTACTAATTCTATCCACATTGTTCACATGAGGAAAGTAAAACACTGAGAGCTTGAGTAACTTGCCAAAGAGCTTAAGTAACTTGCTGGAAAGAGCAGAATCAAGATTCAAAACCTGGCAGTCAGACTCTAGAGTTGCCCTCTTAAGCTATGCTCTTTGCGTGCAAAAATTTTAAAGAGATTTTTTCTATGAATTAAAAATGAAGAAATGTATGTATGCGACTTCCCTGGTAGTCCAGAGGTTAAGACTCCATGCTCCCAATGCAGGGAGCTGGAGTTCAATCCTTGGTCAGGGAACTAGATCCCGCATGCTGCAACTGAAAAAAGATCCCACATGCTGCAACTAAAGATCCCGCACGTCGCAACGAAGACCCTGCATGACACAACAATGACCTTGCGAGCCGCAACTAAGACCCGGTGCAGCCAAATAAATAAATAAATATTAGGTAAAGAAAAAAGAAATGTGTGTATGGATTTGATCTAGTTCACTGTAAGTTTTTCAAAGTAAAATTTTGGCTAGCTAGTTTCTATTCAACATGTTATTTTATTATGAATTGCTTTCCTTTCCTCCTGCTTTATATTATACTTTATATATATATATATATATATGTATATATATAAACATATATATATTTACTTTTGGGAAGTTTGTATACAAGTTACAGTATCTATGGGTCTGATAGAATTGGGGACTGCTGGCTAGGGCAATAGTTCCCAGTCTTTTGGATTTCAAAAAAAGATGGTAGTAGCTATAGTACAATGAAGATACTATGTTTAGTGGTCCCTTGACGAGTAGATTCTCTCACTGACCTTTCAAGATTAGAATGCAGTTGTTGTAACTCAGTATCCGTTGAGGCTGCCGTTTTCCCTTGGGGATTTGTGGAAACTCGACGCCTTAATTTCAAGCTTTGTGTGAGTACAGGGCCCTTTCTATATCCTTCCTATGTCTCCACTCAGCTACTGCACTTGGGCACAAAGTTCAAGCCTATCAGTAATTTCCATGAAAGCAAAATAAAATAAAGAAGCAGTACTTTTACTGAAGATTTGGTGTCAGGCAAGTGGCATCTGTTGTCTGTCACCAGAAGTAGAAGTCCAAGCACTTCTGCCCACTGCATGTTATTATCAAAGTCTCCAAGGAAAACACAACACTGTCAAGCACTGGAAGGAACGATGCTTTACTCACGTAAAGAGACAGGGCAAGATCAGCTTCAGGAGTGCACAATGGTTTCCCATAGCCTGCGGGTCCCTCTCAGCAGCCTGCATGAACCCCTCTTGTGCGGCAACAGAAGGACCTCATCAGTTTCCTGCAGGGGACAGATATAGCAGTGGGGCTGGTCAGGTGTCATATGACACACACACACTAAACAGAACAAAAGAGTACACATTGGGTGTGAAACACGGAAAGATATTCCCACACAGGTGACAAGTCTAACACAGGCTTCAGGTGCACTTTATCTCTTGATAAGTAAATGTTCCAGGTCCCAGGCCCATTCTTATGCAACCAAGAAGAGACTGAAAGACTGTGTGCATGAGACTGCCTTTCCAAATATTTAGAAATATCATAGGGAAATGATCTAGAAAAGTACAGTGCAACAAAGTGCTAGGAGGCTGAGTGAGGAGGGATTAGAGCAGGAAGGCAAGGGTAAGAGGAAAAGGATAAGAAAATGTGGTGAGAAAATGGGATATTAAAGTTAGAAATGCATTAGATCTTTTTCCTAATGTGACTTAAAATACCTAAAATGACAGATAAATATGACATCTATGGTTAATAATTTAAGTGGCTTAAATACTTTTTTAAAGCTGGAAATGCTAAAAATATTCTCTACATGAAACACAATGTGTCATCATTCATTGCATCTGAAAACATTGAGTTAGTAGCAAAATGTGGAGGAAAAAATATCCATTCCAAGGAAATTTCTAAATCAAACTGCAAAGATATTAACAGATAACGTTATTAGTTTAAAAATAATTATTGTCTATATTAAGCACGAAATTCAACCAGATTTTTAATTAAATAAATAACTTGCCAACTGTTGTAGTCAAGTATTTACATTTTTTTCTCAGCTTTTTTTTTCTTTACGTCCTTACTGGAGTATAATTGTTTTATAATGGTGTGTTAGCTTCTGCTTTATAACGAAGTGAATCAGCTATACATTTACATATATCGCCATATCTCCTCCCTCTTGCATCTCCCTCCCACCCTCCCTATCCCACCCCTCTAGGTGGTCACAAAGCACCAAGCTGATCTCCCTGTTATGTGGCTGCTTCCCACTAGCTATCTATTGTACATTTGGTAGTGTATATATGTCCATGCCACTCTCTCACTTTGTCCCAGCTTACCCTTCCCCCTCCCTGTGTCCTCAAGTCCATTCTCTACATCTGTGTCTTTATTCTTGTCCTGCCCCTAGGTTCTTCAGAACCTTTTTTTTTTTTAATAACATGTATATGTGTTAGCATACAGTATTTGTTTTTCTCTTTCTTACTTCACTCTGTATGACAGACTCTAGATCCACCCACCTCACTACAATTAACTCAGTTTCGTTCCTTTTATGAGTAAGATTCCATCGTAGATATGTGCCACATCTATTCATCTGTTGATGGACACTTAAGTTGCTTCCATGTCCCGGCTATTGTAAATAGAGCTGCAATGAACATTGTGGTACATGACTCTTTTTGAATTATGGTTTTCTCAAGGTATATGCCCAGTAGTAGGATTGCTGTGTCACATGGTAGTTCTATTTTGAGTTTTTAAGATCCCTCCATACTATTCTCTATGGTGGCTGTACCAATTCACATTCCCACCAACAGAGCAGGAGGGTTCCCTTTTCTGCACACCCTCTCCAGCATTAATTGTTTCTAGATTTTTTGATGATGGCCATTCTGACTGGTGTGAGGTGATACCTCATTGTAGTTTTGATTTGTATTTCTCTAATGATTAGTGATGTTGAGCATCCTTTCATCTGTTTGTTGGCAATCTGTATATCTACTTTCGAGAAATGTTTATTTAGGTCTTCTGCCCATTTTTGGATGGGGTTGTTTGTTTTTTTCATATTGAGCTGCATGAGCTGCTTGTAAATTTTGGAGATTAATCCTTTGTCAGTTGCTTCATTTGCAAATATTTTCTCCCAATCTGAGTGTTGTCTCTTCATCTTGTTTATGGTTTCCTTTGCTGTGCAAAAGCTATTACGTTTCATTAGGTCCCATTTGTTTATTTTTGTTTTTATTTCCATTTCTCTAGGAGGTGGGTCAAAAAGGATCTTGCTGGGATTTATGTCATAGAGTGTTCTGCCTATGTTTTCCTCTAAGAGTTTTATAGTGTCTGGACTTACATTTAGGTCTTTTATCCATTTTGAGTTTATTTTTGTGTATGGTGTTAGGGAGTGTTCTAATTTCATTCTTTTACAGTAGTTGTCCAGTTTTCCCAGCACCAATTATTGAAGTGGCTGTCTTTTCTCCATTGTATATTCTTTCCTCCTTTATCAAAAATAAGGTGACCCTACACGCATGGGTTTATCGCTGGGCTTTCTACTGTTCCATTGATCTATATTTCTGTCCTTGTGCAGTACCACACTGTTGTGATTACTGTAGATTTGTAATATAGTCTGAAGTCCAGGAGCCTGATTCCTCCAGCTCTGTTATTCTTTCTCAAGATTGCTTTGGCTATTTGGGGTCTTTTGTGTTTCCATACAAATTGTGAAATTTTTTGTTTTAGTTCTGTGAAAAATGCCAGTGGTAGTTTGATAGGGATTGCATTGAATCTGTAGATTGCTTTGGGTAGTAGAGTCATTTTCACAATGTTGATTCTTCCAATCCAAGAACATGGTATACCTCTCCATCTATTTGTATCATCTTTAATTTCTTTCATCAGTGTCTTATAGTTTTCTGCATACAGATCTTTTTTCTCCTGAGGTAGGGTTATTCCTAGGTATTTTATTCCTTTTGTTGCAGTAGTAAATGGGAGTATTTCTTTAATCTCTCTTTCAGATTTTTCATCGTTAGTGTATAGGAATGCAAGAGATTTCTGTGCATTATTCTGAATTCTGCTACTTTACCAAATTCATTACTTAGCTCTAGTGGTTTTCTGGTAGCATATCTATGTATAGTATCATGTCATCTGCAAACAGTGACAGCTTTACTTCTTTTCCGATTTGGATTCCTTTTATTTAGTTTTCTTCTCTGATTGCTGTGGCTAAGACTTCCAAAACTATGTCGAGTAATAGTGGTGAGAGTGGGCAACCTTGTCTTTTTTCCTGATCTTAGAGGAAATTGTTTTAGTTTTTCACCATGGAGAATGATGTTGGCTGTGGGCGGGTCATATATGGCCTTTATTATGTTGAGGTAAGTTCCCTCTACGCCTACTTTCTGGAGGGTTTTTATCATAAACAGGTGTTGAATTTTGTCAAAAGCTTTTTGTGCATCTATTGAGATGATTATATGGTTTTTCTCCTGCAATTTGTTAATATGGTTTATCACATCGATTGATTTGCATATATTGAAGAATCTTTGCATTGCTGGGATAAGCCACACTTGATCATGGTGTATGATCCTTTTAATGTGCTGTTGGATTCTGTTTGCTAGTATTTTGTTGAGGATTTTTGCATCTATGTTTATCAGTGATATTGACCTGTAGTTTTCTTTCTTTGTGACATCTTAGTCTGGTTTTGGTATCAGGGTGATGGTGGCCTCACAGAATGAGTTTGGGAGTGTTCCTCCCTTTGCTATAATTTGGAGGAGTTTGAAAAGGATAGGAGTTAGCTCTTCTCTAAATGTTTGATAGAATTTGCCTGTGAAGCCATGGGCTTTTTTTTGTTGGAAGATTTTTAATCACAGTGTCAATTTCAGTGCTTCTGACTGGTCTGTTTATATTTTCTATTCCTGGTTCAGTCTCAGGAGGTTGAGCTTTTCTAAGAATTTGTCCATTTCTTCCAAGTTGTCCATATTATTGGCATAGAGTTGCTTGTAGTAATCTTTCATAGTCCTTTGTATTTCTGCAGTATCAGTTGTTACTTCTCCTTTTTCATTTCTAATTCTGTTGAGTTGAGTTTTCTCTTTCTTTCTTAATGAGTCTAGCTAATGGTTTATCACTTTTGTTTATCTTCCCAAAGAACCAGCTTTTAGTTTTATTGATCTTTGCTATCATTTCCTTCATTTCTTTTTCATTTATTTCTTATCTGATCTTTATGATTTCTTTTCTTCTGTTAACTTTGGGGTTCTTTTGTTCTTCTTTCTCTAACTGCTTTAGGTGCAAGGTTAGGTTGTTTATTTGAGATGTTTCTTGTTTCTTAAGGTAGGATTGTATTGCTGTAAACTTCCCTCTTAGAACTTCTTTTGCTGCATCTCATAGGTTTTGGGTCATTGTGTTTTCATTGTCATACGTTTCTAGGTATTTTTTGATTTCCTCTCTGATTTCTTCAGTGATCTCTTGGTTATTTAGTAGTTTATTGTTTAGCCTCAATGTGCTTGTATTTTTTACCGTTTTTTTTCCTGTAATTGATATCTAGTCTCATAGTGTTGTGATCACAAATGATATTTGATATGATTTCAATTTTCTTAAATTACCGAGGCTTGATTTGTCACCTAGATATGATCTATCCTGTAGAACGGTCCATGAGCACTTGAGAAGAAATTGTATTCTGTTGTTTTTGGATGGAATGTCCTATAAATATCAATTAAGTCCATCTTGTTTAATATATCATTTAAAGCTTGTCTTTCCTTATTTATTTACATTTTGCTTTATCTGTCCATTGGTGAAAGTGGAGTGTTAAAGTCCCCTACTATGACTGTGTTACTGTCAATTTCCCCTTTATGGCTGTTAGTATTTGCCTTATGTATTGAGGTGCTCCTATGTTGGGTGCATAAATATTTACAATTGTTATATCTTCTTCTTTGATTGATCCCTTGATCATTATGTAGTGTCCTTCTTGGTCTCTTCTAATAGTCTTTATTTTAAAGTCTATTTTGTCTGATACGGGAATTGCTACTCCAGCTTTCTTTTGGTTTCCATTGGCATGGAATATCTTTATCCATCCCTTCACTTTCAGTCTGTATGTGTCCCTAGGTCTGAAGTGGGTCTCTTGTAGACAGCATATATACAGGTCTTTTTTTTTTTATCTATTCAGCCAGTCTATGTCTTTTGGGTAGAGCATTTAATCCTTGCACACTTAAAGTAATTATCAAGGAGAGTGGGAAGATGGCAGAAGGGTAAGACACGGAGATCACCTTCGTCCCCACAGATACATCAGAAATACATCTACACATGGAGCAACTCCTACAGAACACCTGCTGAATGCCGGCAGAAGACCTCAGACCTCCCAAAAGGCAAGAAACTCCCCACGTACCTGGGTAGGGCAAAAGAAAAAAGAATAAACAGAGACGAAAGAATAGGGATGGGACCTGCACCAGTGGGAGGGAGCCGTGAAGGAAGAAAGGTTTCCACACACTAGAAGCCCCTTCGCGGGCGGAGACTGCAGGTGGCGGAGGGGGAAGCTTTGGAGCCGCGGAGGAGAGCGCAGCAACAGGGGTGCGGAGGGCAAAGCGGGGAGATTCCCGCACAGAGGATAAGGGCCGACCGGCACTCACCAGGCCAAGAGGCTTGTCTGCTCACCCGCCAGGGTGGGCAGGGCTGGGAGTTGAGGCTCGGGCTTCAGTCGGAGCACCGGGAGAGGACTGGTGTTGGCGGCGTGAACACAGCCTGCAGGGGGTTAGTGCACCACGGCTAGCCCGGAGGGAGTCTGGACCTGCCGAAGAGGCAAGAGACTTTTTCTTTCCTCTTTGTTTCCTGGTGCAGGAGGAGAGGGGATTAAGAGTGCTGCTTAAAGGAGCTCCAGAGACAGGCGTGAGCCGCGGCTAAAAGCCCAGACCCCAGAGACGGGCATGAGACGCTAAGGCTGCTTCTGCCGCCACCAAGAAGCCTCTGTACGAGCACAGGTCACTATCCACACCTCCCCTCCCAGGAGCCTGTGCAGCCCGCCACTGCCAGGGTCCCGGGATCCACGGACAACTTCCCCGGGAGAACGCAGCACGGTGCGCCTCAGGGTGGTGCAATGTCACGCT